CCGTGGTTGTTTTTGAGTATAGTTCACTCATCGCTTCTGACTGTCAAACATTGACTCGTCGAAATGAACAACCGACTACTATAAACGTTGACGTCACGGCGGAATTCAGAAACTTACGGGGGTAGGGGTGGAGGCAAACTCTTAACTTGACAATCTCAGCAGTAAAACTGCTTAACTGGTATGTTTCACTCAAAGGAAAAACAGATGCGATATTTTTAATAACTTTTTCTCCGAATCAATTGCAGTAAAATCGTTTTAGGTTGCGATTAGTCACGATAAACTGTTCAAAGAATTTCGTGAATGAAAAACACAGGGCGTGAATGCAATTTATCATCCTCTAGGTGAGATTACTTACAGTCATGAACCAAATCAACACAGGCTAAGTATGTAAAAACTTCTTAAGACTTTTCCAGTCATAATGGAACTGCGATAAAAAACATTGACGGAATTTTTTTTTCGCCCACGATTGTAACTAATTGCAAGTCATGGTTATATAACTTTTTCAAAAGGCGACTCAAGATGCTAATTTCTAATGACTCACGTGCAGTTTCACGACGTGAAATCTTAGACAAACAGGAAAAGGCCACTGACTCGTGAAAACAAGTTGCAACTAATGCATTTCAACAACCAGGACAATTTCAAAAGAGAAATATAATCTTTTGTCTCTCAATGCGATCACTTCTGGTGTGGATCGCGACCACATCCGATATCTACGTATACCACGAGCTACTAACCATAACCTATTTTACGACATAAACTAGGACAATTTTAAGACATTTCTTTAAAAATTTCATTGCATCACTTAACGATAAATTTAATGACGATGATAATAATAATTTCAAATTTGATAAGAATTTAAAGATCGGTACTTAAAATTTGAATCGTTAAGTACTATACAGAGGTGTTTTATCGACACCATTCCCTCAACGGAAAACGTATTACTTTCCCGAAGTTAAAAAAACAACAACAACAATCACGGCAGCAATAATTATGAAAGAGTCTAAATGGTTTTATCCGTTAAACGGCAAATATTAATTAAGTTTAACCGTTAGTCGTAAAAAAAAGTTTACCGTAAAATTATAATATTTTAAATCTACTTTGTGTTATTTTGAAAGTGTCAAAATCTTTTGGAATCTTGTCGGTTCACAGGCGGCCCAAGCTCCAGCTGTGAGACGATCATCTTACGCAATAACGGTCATGGCGGAATTATAAGAGTTTGTATAGGAATATTTTTCTTATGTACGTTGAAAACCTCGAAATGAACAACTCGCTCAAATGGGCTCTTTTCATCCAAGTAAGCGGTCAGATAACAAGCAATACGCTGTGGAAGCGAGGTGAGGTATTTTTTTTGAGAATTTGACGTATTTTTTTATTCCTTAGAGCGCTCGTAAATATTCCTATACAAACTCTTATAATTCCGCCATGACCGTTATTGCGTAAGATGATCATCTCACAGCTGGAGCTTGGGCCGCCTGTGGTCGGTTACGACTTACACACTCATCCCAGTAATTAACGAAAACAAGGACATTTGGCTCAAGTTGCAAAAGATTACTGAAGAAGTATGCCATATATGTCCATCATTTGGCAAGACATTTGGAGATCGGTCTTTTCAGGCAGCAGCACCATACTTATGGAACAGACTTCCTCGTGAAATTAGAATGATTAAGTGTTTGGATAAATTTAAAAAAGCTATTAAAACGTTTCTGTTTAATGAAGCTTTTTGTAATCATTAACTCAGATATATTACATTAAAATAATTTATTCTTATATATTTTTAGCTACCATTACTATTGTAAATTTTATTTAGATATATAAGGTTTTTAATTTTTATTCAGTGTAAAGCACTATTGATCTGTACATGTAAATAGGGCTATACAACTAATAAATTATTATTATTATTAATTATTATTCTTCTAGTACCGTATTACTTTGTGTCTTTTTTCAATCCCGAAACTGATCAGTCGTAAATGCCTTTTAGAGCAGTAGAATTGGTCTTTAACTTTTTAAATACAATCAAAATTACTTTTTAAAATTTCTGTTAACCTTAACGAAGAGAAATTGACCGTTAGCCGTAAAATGGCCAGAATTTACCCGTAAAAGGCATTGAGACACTCCTGTAGGCTGTGGCTGTGTTTCCTTATCAGTCCAATAGTTAATTTGCGAACCTTATTCCAGTCTGAGTTCACGCGCGCCCTGGTGCAAAAGGTCATAGACAAAGCAATTTCCTCGTTCTTGATTCTGAAACTGTATTTAATTTGCTTAGAAGACGACAAGAGAAGAAATCACCCTTTAAATATTTGCAGTAAGTTGTTTCCAGCTAGCCACTGCGTCTTTCGTTCGGTATTTGTGGGGTATCAGAATTGCAAATTAGGTCTAGTACATATACATATAAAAAGGACCGGCCATTTAACAGAGATCAAATCTTGGCTTTTACCGCGCGCTATCGGACAATATTCCATAATCAACGGAAATCTTTAGCAATTAAAGCTATTTTAAGACCAGCTGGACCGAAAAACTGCCTGTGAAAAACGTAAACACACCTCTAGATATTGTAGAGAAGAATATTTTCTTCAAATTCCAATCACCAAATACTTCCTTAGTAAGAAGATAACGCAACAAGATGTGACTTCATTTAGATATTTAGAATAACTTTTATTTTGATAGGCTCTCACTTCTGTAGTTATCTGTTTATCATGAGCTCATCTCAGGCAGCTCGTCGGTCATCTATAGCCATCTCATTTTTTCCGGGTGGAACCTAGAGCTCTGTCGCCAAGCGCGTTCGTTGAATTCTAAAGCCTTACTCCGTAAAAGAACCACGTTATGGTTTTGCCTTTCTGAACTGTCTGATTTAAAATATGTTTTAATGACGCAACTGTGAAATACTATAATATCACATGCTTTACTGAGTTCCCCTTGTTCAGAAAAGGGGATCTTACTTGAAAAACTGACGCTAATTGCTGAGCTTTCTGACACTCGATACCATGTGAGACATTAACGCAGTGTTAGCAAGAGAAACATCTTTTAAAGAGAGGTTTGCCTTTGTCGTTTTAAGGTTAGTGATTAAATTTGAACCGTATTGACAAAAAAAATTCAGAGTAGGACGTACCTTTTCCCCGTATGCACAACGTTTCTCGAAATGCTGACTTTCCAAAAATGAGATAAGCATAGTTTAAGCACGCTCGAGGGATGTGATTAACCTCCGTCATCATGATGTTATGGCCACTTAATTTCCAAAAGCTACAAAATTAAAATTTACAAACATAAAATAGTTCTCCTCGATTAATTTGTAAATCAGCTATCAGAAAACAAACAGAGCCAACACTTAAGGAAATAATGCAATTTAATATGCGCAGAAGCGAACCTTATCCCAATTAATGACTCTTTGATTTAACATAAACTCGATTTGAGATCTGGCTACTTTGTAAAATGTGTAATAAAAATTTTCCCCATAATTCTCAGAGAATGGTATTACTTCTATAGTGAAGTCAAGATTTTCCGCTTGAGTCGAAATCGTTGGCTTCATTCTTGTTGATCTACTAGTAACTGCATTTACAGTTATTACTTACGGTCGAGAGTCTTTTTGATAGTCGACAAAATTCCGCTATTATTTCTTCAAGAACTGAAGCTCGAATTTCGAAGAAATCATTTGGTAAGAAAATGAAGAAATCAGTGAGTCAACGGATAAAATCTGAGAATTTCCACCAACATACCTTATCAAACTTTCTAGGCCATTTCTAGGCCATTTCCAGAATAATTTGCGACGTCAAAGTTATCTTTTTGTGTGTTACGCGCAGTTGAAATGCACTGAATCTTACAAGACTATGTTAACATCGCTAATCAACTGTCCGTGAATCGTAAAATGACCGCATCAGAGATAAACATGTTTGTCAGACCTCTTCCTCGATGGTGATATTACATATATTGAACAGGGGACAGAATTTGCATATTCCCATGAATGAAACAGCTTTTTTAATCAAATAGAACTATGACACCATTATCGCATGCGTTATCTTTGTATCTTGACAACCACACAGAACTTGGAGCTTGTTAGCAGGTGAACAAACACAGACAATGACGAAAAGTTCAAAAATCAAGAAGAGCGTAGGGATAAAAAATTAATAAATAAAACTTGACACACTATAAGGAAGTTAAGATGAAAATTTTTTGTTGTTGTTTATTCACATTTTTTAGGGAGGCTATGAACGTTTTCTTCTTATAATGATAGTGATCGGAGTTTCAAGACCTTAGTGAGACCTTTAGGACCATCCATCCATTGTTTCGCAAATTTAACCAAAAATTTGGGAGTTATTACGTAGTTTTATTCATACAAGGCCCACTTTTACGTTGATCAAATTACAGTGACGGTTGCCGTATCACTAAAAATAGAACTTTTGACGTCATTTCACAGATAAGTTATTGGATCACGTAAATTTTCCTTAAAATAGTGGGTAACATAAATACCTTTTAACCTCGTTTCCAGTCTATAAATGAAATTATACAGCGCTCAAGACGTCAAACATAATAGTAATAGAATCAGGGTTGTCGTAAATTGTATCAAGTGCGATATCTACCCCGGCCGGGTTGTTCAACTCATTGCAAGCAAATCAAAGAGCGCGCGGCAGCTTTCCATTCGTCAGCACTTGCTGAAAAATAACAAAAAACAAACTCAAAAACTATGAACAAAAATGATCCTAAGTTTTTGACGCCTTTATAAGACCCCATTCTCGCTTTTCCAGCGCCCGCATATCGATCTTCCCTTCGAACTGAATGCCTGTCAGAAGCTGTTTCCTCAAACGAATAAACGGAAGAGAAAAGGAGGTTTGTGAAATCTCTTCAGGTAACAAATTTTTCTTCCTTTGAACGATATTTTAGCCTCGAAATTGTGCTTCGATAAGTTAGTCTTAGGGAAGGGTTCCTAAAATCTGAAAAAGAAGAAGTTGAAGTACGATGTAAGACTACCTGTAGCGTCCTCTTTTTGATGACGTCATGCCTCCCAAAAATGGTAGGAAGAAATGTCTGTTGAATTCTCAAGATGGCCGAAGCCACAGTCGAAAGAGCAAGTGAACGATTTTATTGCCATGAGTGCAATCGAGAAGTTTCTCTGAATTTACCAGTAAGTGTTAGTTTGTATGGATTTGTACAGAGTGGATTTTTCGTTGGAATCAGAGTTGCAATCACGTACTTACTCGATATGGAACCGTAATTCTACCATTTTAACTTTATCAAATGAGTGATCAGTTTTAGCAACCCAAATTTCCTTTATTGGGATTATAAGTGTCAGCTAACGCTGCTACGATAAGAGTGTGTTAAAATGAAGTTATGGTTAAGTCGGTGACCATCGTTTTAAAGGGAAAAAGTTGAGTCCTTTTGTGAACTAAATCGCTTCCGCCATGTCCACGAAAACCACGATAATAGTTTGTACCACATAAAGGCGTATTTGTTGTGCGATTGTTTTTTCTGATTTACCGAAAGTTTGTGTTCAGAGCCGAAGAAAAATGGAAATTCGGCTATCAAGCTGTGTAAACTATGCATCAGCTGTCAAAGAAACTTTCTGTGAACAATTTAATCGTTTACCGTAAATTTGAAGCACGGTGTTGTGTAATGGAGTAAAAGTTTCTTGGTAGCAACGACGTAATCGAGGAGTACTTGACCGAAGTCCGGATTCGTAGTTATGCATCGATTACATAGACTAATTTTTGTCAGTGTAATGGATGGTTATTTTCACTTTTGCATGTCTCGATATGCACTCCAGAAAAGCATCTGTCTTATGATATAATCCTGGTATTTAGATTAAGAAACTATTCAGAGGAATTTTAATGGAATATACTCTACATTTACCCCATTTTTGCTTAGATGCTGCAAGTTTTTTTTAGATGGCAGCTGTTTTAAGGCATAGGTGTAAGATTTTCTTCAGATGATAACACTACTTCTTAATAAGTATGCAAAAAGTATAAGAAAGATGCAAAAAATTTAAATTTTCAACAATTATACAGATCTGATGGAAAAGGGGATTTGATTTTACAGTCCTAACTTGTTAAAAATCAGTAAACACTGGTCATAGCTTGTAATAATTATCAATCAATACTTGGCAATAAATATTATGCAATTAGAAATGACATAGCTTCCTTCTAATGAGCTGACTGGCTCAGTAGTTATGTTTCAAATTTATTTTTTGTGTTCTTGTAGGATTTTACTTGTTCACAATGCCAGGGAGAATTTATTGAACAGTTAAGCGACAGGTAGGTTGCTATATGATAACAGATCAATTACATTGTAACAGTTAGGAAAGTTAACAAATGATAATTAAGTGCATGATTACCTTAGATTGTCCTGAATACATTCAATGTTTCTATACCATTTTTCATTGCAGCTTGAGGAAGGAACTGTTGGTAATTAATTTAGATTATAATAATATACTTTGATAATCTATTGGTACATATATGTTCAATAGTGTTTGATCTCTGGGAATGAAGAATCAATGTCTAATGAAGTCTAATACTCAGAGTCCACAGATGTACTATGGTCAGTTGTTGGTCATTATATAGAGGTTCAGAGTCCACAGGTTTGATGGTCAGTGGTTGGGTAACATATCAAGACTCAGAATCATTGATAATAAAGGAAATTTCTTCTTTGACTGTCTGTTTGTATAACTCCCACTGGTGGCAGAAGTGATTTTTAAGCTTGGATATGTAACTTACAAAATTCCTTTGTTCAAGAGTTTAAACATTTGACCAACTGTATTCCCAAGAGCCTGATTGAGTGAGTTACTTATTGAGTGCTAAACTCTTAACAGCAATGAAGAAGAAGAAAGCACAGCAGAAGCTGAAAGAGACCCAGCCACCCACTTTGCAGAGGTGAGAAGTACATGTGGACTTCATCCACTAAAATTGACTGAACATATATGTTGCCTTTACTGCTCAACGACTCAATATTTATTGATGAAATCTGGCAAACCTCTGTGATGTGACACACAATATATGACATCTTTTTTATTCTATTTACAAACATGATGTTATGGACATTCCAGACTGTAGCAGTATGCTGGACACCTGTCATACATGAACTTAGTTATGGCCTTCTAAAATCTCTGTGGCTCAGTTGTAGAGCATCAGAGCACAATATTCGAAGGTCTGAGTTCAATTTCTCATGGAGACTCAGAATTTTTTCTTTGTCCAAGGCTGGTGACTAGACAAAAATGTGTCTTTTTTTAGTATTGTTATAGGTTGTAGGTCCAAATAAGAGAAGTGCCTGTCTTTTACTACAACCCATGTATTTAATAAAGTTTGACTTAGATTAGTTATTGTCATTACAGATAGGCCAGCCCCAGGAAAGAGAATCCCATTTTCCTCAACATGTCTCAACACTCTTTTTTTATATCATTATTGTCTTATTAATATTTCATTACAATTCATTTTCAGTTGGTTCACAGAAGTTTGTTTGGACAACTGCCAGGTAATAAGAGAAATTTAGAAAGATGATAATTATTAAATTTGGATATGTTATCGAATACAAAGCAAAGTTAACTAAATATCAACACAGCTGGTTACAAAAATTATCAACCAAGAAAAAATTAATTACAACATATAAAGTGGTTATAGAAAATTATTCTCATTTGAGCATTATTCTTTAATGAATCAGAGGAAATAGTGGTAATATTAATTTACGATTAATGTCCACTGAAGCTGGAAATTTGGACTCTCTAGATGAAGGAAGGAGACGATCCCGTAGACCACGAACAAGAATAAGTATTCGTACCAATCAGAGGCCAGGAGAAAGAGGAGATGCTGCCAATGCCACAACTGCTGCAGCAATTGATGTGTAAGTTGTTAGCTATGATTTAAAACATCTTGAGAAGTACTATGTGCCAGTACTATTACATATTGTAATTCTTTTGTCTTACAGAATTCTTCAAAATCTTTTTGGTGGATTAGCATCACCAGGTATTTTGCTTGTTTGATTTATCTTTTCATATATTATGTGATTGTGAAGGTATAGCTCAATTCTGATTATTGGAATCATTATATTCTACACAGTATATCCACAAGTTCACCATAGTGTCTCTTTGATTTGCTGCTGTTTTTATACTTATTCAAGGTAGTAATACAAGTGAAGATGGAGCAGGAACATCTGGAAATATGGGATTTCCATTGTAAGTATTATTATCTTTTAACCATTTCAATATTAGTAGTAATTCACGCAACTTTTAAGCACAATTTATTTTAGAATTGTCATCACTACCCATGGATGATGCTATTTTGACGAGTTATCAGCCCTTAACACAACATAAAAAGATTGGCTAGACTCATAATCCTGAATCAATGATATTACTTGTCTGCTGCTGTGTCTTTCATATCACATGGGACATTAATGTTAGACATTTATTCTTAAGACTTCACTGTACATTTTTTCAGTACGTTTCTTTTGTGGGCAAGGCAGTTGCCTTGTGGCTATATTACCCTACTGGACTCTTGATCAAAAGTTTTCCCTTGGACATCTCTCCATCACATGGCAAAGACACTTTCTTTCACAGTGCCACTCTCCACCCCTAAATATAAATGGGAAGGGGAAACCCTACAAGGGACTGTGGTCCTATCCAGGGGGAAATAATGATACTCCTTGTTCAAAGTGCAATAAGCTCCAGTACAATGAATCTCCCAGCTTTTTATCTGACTCTTCTTTTTTTTTTATCTAATAGCAACTTGTTGCGTCTTCATGGGAACCCTGCTGATTATGCCTGGGGTGCAGAGGGATTGGATTCAATAATAACACAGGTGAGAGAACAGCGAAAAGAAAAAGTTCTTTTAAGTGTTAATACTTTGTCACTGGTTTGACCCCAAATAACTAGAATGGTAGTAAAAGGAAGTATTGCAACTAGAAAAAAAGCAAAACAAAAATGAAATGAAAATCTCTCAAAACTGAAAAAAACTATGGGCTAGTGTATGATCCCAAATGAAAAAAATTATGCAAGAGACACGTCAATAAAAAAAAAAAAGAAAAGAAAATTACCTTTTTTCATTCGTGAAACTGAAAACCAGCTGTCAATAAAGGGAAAAACCCAAAATGGCAGCAGATACCAAAACCAAACTCTACATTGTGAGTGCAAAAACATGGAAAACTGATCTCAAAAAGCATTAACACAAAGAAGCCAATTTCTGCCTCATAATGGATGATCAGTTCAGAGCAGTAATTATAATATCCATTCCACAGCTTCTAAACCAGATGGATGGAGCAGGACCACCCCCAGCAGATTCCAAAAAGATAGAAGATCTTCAAAAAGTAGAAGTTACAGAAGATTCAGCAGGTAAGAGAACATAACAGTTACTAGACAGGTTTATTCCATTCTGGTATGTAAAGCAGGAATACACTTCAGCATTCACTAGGTTCTAGGTTTGTGTTTCCATCAGAGCATCCCTTCTCTTTGATTTCACAGACAGCTGTGCCATAGGATCACCTTCCTCAAATGTTATTGTGTACCTTTACATTTTTTACCTTTTCTTTCTTCTTTTTTTTGTCTAGAGTCTGATAAATTTTGTGCTGTATGCAAAGAACAGTGTTCAAAAGATGAGGATGTTAGGAGATTACCCTGTAGTCATATATTCCATTTTGGTTGTATAAAACCATGGTTAAAAATGGTGAGTACATATTTTAGTAGGTATATAATTTTATTATTATTTATTTATTTAATGGTTTTCACCATGATCACAATGCTAAAATAAGACAAGGAAGAAGAAATGCATTTGAAGAAGTCACAAGAATGAGAGACAAAGGACAAAGGTGTGGGACCCATGACAGAGTAACACTCCAAATTAAGTGTGCCCTTAAGAAAAATACACAATTACTATGTAACACTAAAAAAATCATAAGAAGTATAAAAATCCTAATAACTCCAATATAATGATACACGCAAAAGCATAATGTTATTCCTTTTTCTGTTATTTGACAAAGGCTTTGTGCTTGACTAAAATTTAGAATCAACAATTAGTTATATTTCACTTCAGGAGAAAAACAACCATGTTGGGAGCAAGGCAAATTCTAATTGGTTCTTTGTTATATCTATAGCGAGGTGATCACAAATAAATTAAACAGATTAAATATTTGACCTGTGGATGACTTCAAAGGAAGGCATGATCCTCGTAGATAAACTGCAATAGCCCATTTCCAAATTATCTTTGGGCTCTTTTTCAAAGCGAGTGTTGGTGCTCATCCTTTTATATCACAATAATTTTTCATTCACATGCAAATTAAACTCATTTTCATGCAAATCAAAGCACCAAGCCTGGTTTTGAAAAAAAAGGCCAAAAGTAATTCAGAAATGGCCTATTAAAGAAATAGCAGAAAGAAGAGCTTGAAAAATTCAGACTTCAGCAGGATTCAAACCTTTGCCTTAAAGATAATACCTGTAGTTGGTTTATTTTTATACTAAATGTAAAGTTTTCTCCTTTTTTCAGCATGATTCTTGCCCTGTCTGCCGCTTGAGTCTCAGTAATACCCAAACAAGAGGGTCACGAGATAGTGATTCAAGCACACCTGAACAGTTTCATTTATGAATTAAACTGATTTGAACTGGGAAATCTGAAGCTTTTGAATTTTTTTTTGTTACAATCTAGTCTTAAGTTATTGAGTACATAACACAATAGAGACAATATGGGATGCTGTGAATATTTCCACTGTATTTCTGTTAGAGCAACAGTTATGCTTTTTCATTATAAAGTTTATTTACAGGTCACAATTACTGCTTTTGTTTGTAATGAGTGTAAATAAAAACGTGAGTATAAGGTTATGAAATATTGGAATTTCTGGTTCGCTAGAGGCTGTCAATTCATGTATGTCTGCAGACATCACATTATTTTACAAGCCAAGTAACAAGCATCCTATTTAAAGCTCCCAAAAATTCCTGGAAACAGAACTTTTTTTCTCCCTTGCATTTTAATGTCTTATTAATTTTCAGTATTAGTCTAACCCTTAGCTATAAAAATTATAGGGAGCTTTGAAATACCATTGCCTTTTGTACATCTGCCTATTGTTTGAGACTGTTACATTAAAACCCAAGCCTATTGAATACTTGGACGCTAGTCAGGAAATAGGGTCCAGTACACAAAGGAAAGGTACACTGGGAAGGTCTTTGTAGAAAGTAATGACAGCAAATAATCCTCATCTTCAAAGAAAATTTTTCCTGCAGTGTCATCTTATTACTTAAGAATAATTACAGTGGGAACTTAAATAAAACATAAATATATATCGGAAAAGCAAAGTGAAACAAGTAAAACTATGAGAGGAAACTTTGGTGCCCTTTTTATGACATTTCCCAGCTTGTTTACAAGTGAATCTCAATTTGATAAAATTCACCCAGTTTTCCTGCTTGTCCTCAAATACTCAGAAAGTGGATTACTAAAGGGGAGGACATGATGTGTTTCTAAAAATTTCAAAGGAAAAAACAATGTAGATATATATTCCAAGTTTTTTTCTGTTCTTCAAAATATTTTAAGTAACTGGTAGCTATCTCACGCATGTAATTGGATTTAACAAAGATGTGTCAAAGGTTGAATTACTTCATTACAAAATTAAAAACAAGTAATTAGACATAGGTGTTGCTAGTTTTCTTTTGTCATAGAACCCATAACTTACTCCTGAAAAGGACAAAATTTTAAACAATTTGCTCAATGTTAAGGTTCGATGAAGATCCCGGGGTGAGGTAAAAAAAAAATTACTTCAGATATTGAAAATTTTTTGAATTGGTTTGGATGTTTGTACAATATCTAAATGTGCACCATAAAGTCTTGATTTTGGAAATTATTTGTGGTGTTTATTTTTGCCAAATATAAAAATAAATCTTAACACTGGTAAGTGTGAAGAAATTTGTATTTCCTTATTAAAGAACTTGGTGGGGGAATGATGTTGATGTCGCAAGTCCTTATCGATACAACTTTGATCAAATGAGGTTAACATTTATGTAGACTCCACCATTTGCAAATACCAAAATTTGTATAATCATCCAAAAAGAAATTCATTTACTTCTTCTATTCTAAGCTAGTTTTATTACATCTTTCAATTCCGAAATAAAATTTTGTATTAACTGTTAATTAGATCATGCTGTACTGATGACCTAAATATCCTCAGAATTTATTGCATGGAAACTGTATAAGTTGAAATCCTAGTACATGGCACATTTTATATTAGTTGTCAAACAGTTGATAATGTATTGATCAATTTGAAGCTTCAACATTCCTTTCCCTCTCCCCCTCCATCAGGCACTTGAACTTTTGGAAATTGGCTTGTTCAGATTCCCTCTTTCCCCAGGCCAAAATTGAATTCAAATGCCACACCCAATAATGAGTGATGCTTTGTGTGATCGCAAACATATTCCAATTTAGCAAAGTCGTATTAGATTCTGGTTTTGTCATTAAGTTTTCCATTGTAAACATTCAAAGATGAAAATAGTCTTTCTAAACCATTCACTCACAAAAGCAGACTCCTTACCTTTAAATCCTCTATTAAACTTGTGTATTATGCTAAAGACTTGACCCTCCCAGTTCAAATGCCCCATCCCACCCAGCAAGGTTCAAATGCCTCACCCACAGACACAAATGACAGTCAAATGCTTGTTGGTTGCCATGGGGGTGGGGGAAGTTGAAGCTTCAAATTGATCAGTGCATAACTATCAAAACTCATCAGTAACTCTATCTTGGGACTACAAGAAGTAACACTAAGAAATCATTATTTCATTCACACAGAAAATGCCTCATAACCCAACTGCCAACATAACATTGTTATGTTTCCTCAAAAATCAGTAACAAATTTAGCTAGCTATGTACAAATAGATGAAAGATATACATCAATGTAGCTTCAGTCAATACACAAAGTTTCAATAAAATTTTCAGTAGAATTATTTTCTGTATTTTGAATTGTATTTGAGCCAGCACTTGCAGGAGTAATTTTACTTAATTCAGTGTTATTCCTGATTGGTTCAGTACCCTTGCTTTTGGGTTCACCATCTACTTGCGAGTGTAAATCTACCACGTTAGAACCTAAAATGCCACCAAAACCTGTTAAGCCCTTGTTGTCAATCTCCATGGGTGAATTTGAAGTTGAAGTACATGATAAACTTGCTGGTTGAATCTTAGGAGTGTTATTTTGCTTTTCAGGACTTGCACCCCTAGCAGCAAATTGAATGATACTGGGAGTATTTGCCTGCAAAGTCGCAGAAGACTTAGGAGTATCTGAAGATGCATCTGAACCAGTACATCCATCAACCAACAAGTTCTCTATGCCATAGGCTTCCAGAATGTGACTGTGGACGTACCAGCGAGGCCTATCATTTCTTCTTTCCTTAGAAGCAATATTCTGAATTTTCTTCTCAAGTTGTCTTTTGGAAATTGGACTTTTTTCATCAACTTCTTCATCTGTGACATCTCTACCTAGCCACTTTGAAGTCCAATGCTTTCTGAACTTCATCATCAACTTGCTGAGACCTGCTGTGTTTCCATGAACCAACTTTATTAGGTCAGGCATTGCTGGAAATAAAGGAGAGAATAATTACTAAGGTCAGAGCAACATCCAAGGCTTCACCCCCACTCCCAAGCCACCGTTCTGAGAAAAAGGCAATTTCTTGCGCAGTCACCAATTGCAAGTTCATAAATAGTGAGTTTTATATTTTGTGTTTCATCAGCTTGAGCTTGGATCTTATGTTCAAAGCAACTCTTCAAGCATTCCAGCTTCACAGTTGAGGGTTTCTTACTCCATTTATTCTTATGTATTAGCAAACTTTTGAATATTACCTTTATCCGGTACATAGAGAGCTCCACTGGTGTTTCCACTACTTGGTGTGTCCACAGAGAAATCAGCACTCTTACTGTTTGTAGACAGGCTTTCAATGTTTATGGGTCCATCAACAAGTAAGCATGCAGCAAACTGCTTGAGCACCACACTCACTTCAGCTTCCTCAAGCCACAGGCATCCCAGTGATATTGGCTTCATTGGCTTGCACTTTCTTTTCATTGCAGCTTCCCATGCCTTGGCCTTTGCAAGCTGTTGATCTCTTTTATTTTCAGGATTCTCTCCCTGTGAGGAAAAAATAATATTAATACTGCAAAACCCCCAGGTTTATTTTTGTTGTTGTGTAGAAATATGTAATTACAACTGGCAGCAGTAAGTCTAATACCTTCTTTTCTTCATTCACATCACATTCATCATCATCTCCATCCTCAACTCCTTCATCATCTGATAAGTAACCATGAGGAACAAAGAATCCATCATCATCTCCATTGTCATCATCACCATCACCTTCATCCTCTCCCTGAAAATTAAAATTGACTTTACTGATCATGATAAAAAAAGGATGCCTCATCAGAATGTAATCGGCCCACATCCCTGACCAGTTTCAGCATAAACAGAATGAAAACTGTGGCCATGTTGATCAAAGTACCAGTGGATAAAGCCCTGGATAATAAAGATGGCAGATAAGCCTAGAATAAAGTAGTAGCTTATTATGGTGGAGTTTTCCATCACTATCAATTTATTTTTCAAGGACTTCTAAGTCTGCAGTTGTATTTGTCTTGGAGCATAATCATTACCTCACTGTGTGAGAGACTTTCACCTGGTTCCTCCTCTTCCCATTCATCATCACTGTCAACCTCATAATCCAACAAGTCCTGGAGAATATGGGAGATTGTTGATTATCTATCCACAAGTTTACTAAATGGTTTGTTTTGAGATGCAAGTGTAACAGAAGGTGAAGCCTAAATGCTAATCTTTTAAACAGAAAAATGATAGTAGATCAATTAATTGATTGATTGACTGACAGCAATAATCTCTTTGGTTTGAATTCCAGATGAAAGGAGCATCTCTGTGACATTACATAAATTTTAATAGTTAATTGTTAGTAATTAAATAATAGTTTCGGTTTACTATACCAAGTCTTTTTTGAATGGGTTCCTTGGAGAGATGTGGTAGCTTTTCTTTCTATATGTACCAAAGTATGCTGGCCTGTAGTCTGTGTGGAACTGTAATAGTTTGCATCTCAGGCCAACAAAGGAAGAAATGTCCTTCTTTTTCTCAACAATTTCAACACTTGAGTTGCTGTTTTCATCAATTGCTAAAGGTCCATCAGATGTCTTTTCATCAGTATCACATTCATTCTGTTCCTCAATGGTAGACAGTTTTCTCTTCCTGTATTTGAGAATTGGTTTTCTAGCCTCTAGATCTCTCAGATAGGACCTGTGGTCTTCCTACAAGGTCAAAGGTAAGTTTATTTTAAAATATATGTAATGCACAGACACACTGAAAGGCAAGTTTAATCAGACTCCAGAACTTCATGGATATTTGAGAACTTGTTTGTCTGGAATTTGTCAGAACTGGTTATATTCAAAGAGTCTATCTCAAGAACCTACACTACTGCAGAATTATTTTTCAAATTCAAAGTATATTAGAATATGAATCAATGAATGATCCTCTATTCACTAGTTTTATTGTTCTGTAGCACTACGACAAAGTAGTATACATGTTCTTAAAACTGTTTGATTGCTACACTCAACACTACTGGATGTTTTTTGATATTTTGTTATTAGCTTGAGATACATACCTGTAGTTTAAGTTCCTCATCTAAGACTTTTTTCGTTTCAAGTGACAAGTGTTTACGTGTTGTTGGAGCAATGGTCATTCCCGCTTTCAGCTGAAATGGTTTAAATCTACTACCACTGTCTGATGAAGCCTGAAACCAAACATAAGAATTTCATTAGTACAATGGAACTGGCAGGGAATTGATAATGCTTGAGCTTAATACACCATACAACCAAAACACAGAATGCTGGTAACATAAAAAACAATCTTTTATGTTTAAACTCTCCCACAGTCTGATATTTTTTCAGTAGCAGCCAATCTAAAACCAAACAGTAAAAGAAGAAACCATGGGACCTTTTTAAATTTATAATTCCTAGTGCTAATAAAGGTGTTTTAAACAGTTCATGTGATGTCCCACCAATTGGACCAACATAATACATTGGAGATATAAGGTAAGTTAGATTAGTCAGCAGTAGTACATTTATTCAGAAGATCTGTGTTTGATAAAAAAATATTTTCAATTTGGTACCTTGGGGGCAGATGTCTTGGTGAACCAGCTTACAAAATTTTCTTTACTCTTCAGTCTTTTTCTTGTCTAACAAAGAGAAACAATTGAAGCAATTATTAACAAGACAAACCTTACCAAAGAAAGACAGTACACAACAAAGAAAATGGTAGCATAGCTAATGAATGCTACAGAGTAAATCGTAATGTTTGTCCATAACAGTTGCAGATACAATCTATAAAGTACCAAAAGCTAACCTATGCTTTCCTTGGAATCTACCAAGCTATCTCAACAGCATTACTACTTGTAAGCTGTACCTGTTCTTCTTCTTGATTTCTCTTCTCTTCTTCTCGCTTCCTCTTTTCTTCTAACTTTGCACTGAAATCAACCAAACAGAAGTAAAATAAACAACAAAATGAACAGCCTTTTCAAATCAGAATGCTTTGTTTCAAGAGAAGTTGCTAGTGTCATTAAAAGCATACAGAATACTTCTCATCACCCAACTACTAGGATCCTCTCATCCTCACTTTAATTTTAGTAAGGTCCAAGCTTGACGAATTGATCACCTTTCACAAACTGGATTTTTCTCTTACAAAGGTTGCATAATAGCCATACAACACATGCAATGAAAAGAATACCAGTGCATGTATAATTTTCCTTTGTTTGTACCCTTTTTAAACTTACTTATTTTCTTCTTCTCGTTTCCTTCTTTCCTCTTCTCTCTTTCCCTTCTTTTCCAAGCGTTCCTTTTCTTCCTTCTCCTTCCTCTCTATTCGCTCTTTCTCTCTTCTCTCCCTTTCAGCTTGCTTTTCCTGTTTTTCAAGGTCACGCTTCCTTTTGGCTTCTGATCTTTCCTTTTCTTTGGCTGCCTTTGCCTCTTGTTTTTCTTTTAGTTTCTCCTCTTTTAATCTTTGCTTCTCTTGTCTTTCTTTCTCCTGAAATTAAAAAGGAAATCTCATAAAAAAACTATTATTCAATTTCCCATTCTCCTCTTTGCAATTTAAATTTTAAAGAACAAATATCTATTTTTCCGAACCTGTCTCAATACCAAAGATGTTCACACCAAATTGGTCTACATGTTAATGAATCATAATTATTACTGAAAGCACTACCATAGCTCAACGCTCAAATACCATAAAAGTCATTACTATACCCGTTCCTCCTTCCTCTTCAACTTTTCAGCACTCTTTAAGGTTGGGCTCTTTCTATTTCCCTATACAAAAAGAAAGAAACTAATCAATTTCAAATGAATATCATTGGGAAAAATCAGATCAAAATAATCATGGTCTCCTTTTCTTGTACATGCAGCAAGATCTCTGATAACAGGAACAAAGTTGAAAAAGTGGTGGTATATACACCACTGTAGTACAAGGATTTCACATAATTTTTAACACCAAGGTCACAATCAACTTCACTTCAATCTTTAGAGATTTCCTTGAACTAGTTAGGGCAGATATCAGACCTTTTTTTGTTTTTTGTCTGAAGATCCCAGTCTTTACCTGTAGCAAAACAGTGTAATATATGTATATAGGGTCTCTTTGAGGAAGTGGAGCTGAAATTTGAGTATCTAAGCACCAAGAGGGACTAATACATGATCTGCATTTCTTTATGCCTATTGTCGGTTTTGGATGTTTATTACCTTGACTGGTGGTGACTGATCTATAACCATTGCTTCATCTTCACGAGAAGAGGAAGTAGATTCTGGTGAGGAAATGGAGCTTGCATCTCTCTGCCCAACTAATTTATCATCTTTGTTTTCAAGAACCAAACTTTTGGAAATTTTTGACAAATCTGTGGTATTCTGTGGCTTTCCTAAACTTTCCTTCAAATCAGGGGGAGAGGGAGCACCAGTGACAAGACCTCCACTGGATTGAGTTTTTTCCTTGCATGGTTCAGATGGTGTGTTTTGGCAGTTGCTAATGCTGTCAGCCTCATTTTGGACAGAAACTGAAGTCTTGAATGATCCAGCGGAGGTCAACAGAGATGAAGATACTGTTGGAAAGGACAATACTCCTGAAATAAAAAAATTATGGGGGTACCCCTCAAATGAGTCTTCCTTGTTACAAAATATATCACAAGTAAAATTGCAAGTTTCACAGTGGAATTATTGCTCCAAACATCACAAACACATTTTAAGGTGTGCACAATATTGTCCAATTCTAACACAATCTGCACACTAGATCATTGTAGCCATTAATTATGGGCCACAGTATTATTACAAAGTTCTGCAGTATCACTACAGTGACACTGCAGTAAAACCAACCATTCCCTTGCACACAAGAAAGTAATGTATAAGTGTTCCATCCTACAAATAGTTGATCGAGCCAAAACAGGGCACATCGTAATGATAACACCAGTTGCTTTTAAATACTCAGCTTGCCAGGTGAAAATAACAGCTTCAAAATTATTGAACCTTTAACAATTGTTAGGAAACCTTAAATTTAACGAGGGAACAATGGCTGAGAAACGAATAGATTATAGTGATCCTAAATTGGGTTTTCTAGATGCCTTCTGCCCCAAGTTTGCTCGAGTTTCTTGTATATACGTACATATACACTATTATCATTTTTTCTTATTTCGTAGCAACTGACCTTGCTTCAGTCTTTTACATGGTGGACTATCACATTCGTCTCTGTCAGAACCTTTAGCATATGCTTTAAATAAAACCAAACGTTTCTGTAAGCTATAAAATTACAAATGACAAGATCCGACCTGGAAAATTTGATAGAGGGCATAGGACTTGATGGCGGAACAATCGTACCTTCGCTTGAAGTCTCGCTCTGCACGCGTCCTTCTGGACTTTCACCCGGATTTCTCATATTTTTTATGAGCTACAATAAAATTTTAACGACAAGAATAACATTTAGAGAAAAAATTGAAGAAGAAAGAAGAAAAAGAAACAGTACGCGCTTAGAAGCTCAGCAATGTGTGGTAAGCGCGTTTCTTCAAAATTGGCGGGAATAGCTTTAATGATGCATTCTGGGACTGTTTTGACCTATGGGGTCTGGATCTATTATGTATATTGAAGAAAAATAAACGGAATTAAATGAAGTACTAAATTCTTTGGAAGGGAAGAACATGCTGTATGCGAGAGGCCATTTTTCTATTCGTTGAATGTTTTAGTCCAAAATTAGAGCTTGATTCCCTAACGATGAATGCTCCGGAGTCATTTGAACCATTTCTATTGCTTGATGGAGATAAAAAGTAAGTGTATGCACTGTGTTCCTAGATAGAACGATAATAATAAAGTGTTACAGAGAAAGGATTGATCTTTAATTAAGCATTTTTTTAAATTTTCAGGATAACTATCACTAAGGACACTAAAGTTCCAAATGCTGCCCACTTTGTTGTAAATAAAGAAGATCACACATTAGGAAACCTTCTTCGAGCGTGAGTTAAACAGCGCTACGGACTTGACAGCCAATTAAGAGTTTTTTCTGACGAGTATTTAAGATCGCTCATAAGATTATATAGAGACATTTTTTGCCAGTTTGATTTGTTGCTCAACAGACCCTGTGCTGGCCACAACCATAGCTTTGTTGTTCTATTTTGTGTCAATTAGAGAAAAATTGCATTCATGTATCACTATAAAAGAAACATATGGATAGCTAGTATGTTACTGGTTGGCTGACAACCATCCCACTCAAGGTTAGCAGGTATTTTTAAGGCATTCTACTTTAAGTGCAAAGCTACTAAGCCTCTTAAATTATGCCCCCTTTATTGAAATGAAATATTTCTATCTGAAAATTAAGGATGTTGCTCAGATCATATTTGAGTGGTAGTTCTACCATTATCAACCTTTAAGGCTTTGAATTCATTTTGAAATACCATATTTGCGATTTTCAACTCACAGGCAACTGCTGCGAGATCCACAGGTAATATTTGCTGGATATAAAGTTCCTCATCCCCTTGAGCATAAGTTTGTTCTTCGAGTGCAAACTACGCCAGACTACAGTCCTCAAGAAGCATTCACCAATGCTATCACAGACCTTATCAGTGAAGTGTCTCTTTTAGAAGAAAGATTCAAGGTTAGGTTATTTTCCTTGTTTTCAATCTTCTTCACATAGTCAATTCTATCAAATTACCTTGACCCTTTAACTCCCAGACCAAATTTGTAATTCTCCTTACTGTCAATCATACAATTCCTATAATGTTACTTCAGAGAATTTAGTATTGGATCAACTAATTATCCCCAAATTGATATTTTCCTTTATTCCAGGGTGCCAAGCTCCTATTTTTTCCTATTTTTTGGCCTGCCTCCTATTTTCTCCTACTTTTTCATGAAATTCCTAGTTTTTTCTAGTTTTTTAGGGTTTTACTGGGTAAACAGAAACATTTTGAAATATTTGAAATAAATTGCCAATAAAATTGATTAATTCACTTGTTTTTGTTTATACGGCAATGCATTTTGGATGTATGCCATGGTGCCTGTTAAATATTAAGGCATTGGGTTGTGGAACAGAGTTGCTGTTGGGAGTGTTAAGAGGATAGAACTCAAAGAAATCCTCCTATTTTTTTCCTATTTTGGGGTGAGAATTCCTATTTATTTCCAATTTTTTGGCCACTGTCATTCCTATTTTCCTATTTTCTAAGTATCATTTGTCACTTGACACCCTGTTATTCTCATCACTTATCTGGTTGATATTGTATTGATATTGTAAGGAGAAATTCTGTCTTGGTCACTCATGGGAGTTAAAGGGTTAAAGAGAATGTGCAAGTTGAAAGTCAAAGTACTGTTGTGTTTGATATCCAAGATTGAAGATGACATTTCCCATGTTGACTGCATACTGCAGTCTTCTTCAAGAGTTGTGGTCAACTGGTTACATGTCTTGTTATGGAGCAATATATTCCTTTGTGATTGGTTGGTTTTCAACAGCAAAGGGATCACATCTATGAAAAAAGCCATCAACAATTGCCTAAAAGCAACAATTTGTGGTAGAACTTCGTTTTTAAGAAGGTGATTGCAAACAGTGGAATTCAAGCAAACAAAACATCTCCATCCATAACAGAAGTGTCTAAATTATTACAAAAAAATTCAGGGATGGATTCTGGAATCTTTTATTTGGAGCAAGACTATTAACTTCAATGTGGTCATTTTGAGTGAGTGCCACTGCAAGAATTTTGGTGTCAGACAAGTAGTAGAACAACCCTTAGGTCTGGTAGGATGGTCCCCCTGGATTTGCCCTAATACTTCATCTCTTGCAGCTGATTGCTCTAACTATGGCTTAAACTTAGCTTAATGTTAACTTGGCTTGTAGAAGTTAACTCAACATGAGCTTCCCAATTCCACCAGGGTGCAGCGGTTTTAATTTTATATTCTCTCTCATACTTACAGTCATCAGTCAAAGATAAGCAAGAAGGCATAGAGTGAATTGAAAAATCTTTACAAGGAAGTTGGAATATATTTTCAAACAGGGATGCAGTTGGACCTGAGCTTTGTATTAATATCAGTACAAGTGGTGTGACTCCAGAAGCCCTTGTGGAACATTGTTGTCTTGTAGGGAACTCGTTTATAGTGACTTTGATGATGGCTACAGACTAATAACTTCTAAAAGATCTGTTCTAGTATTCAACATATTTTCCTTGATCTTGTTAGTTTCTTTTTATCGTACTAGGATAATATTTCAAAAATATAGTTGATGTATATATATATCATACCATCGTTAATTGGCTGGAGAATTTTTCTTGAGAAGTGATACTGAAGTTTCTCTTAGCTATGGGGTCAATGAAAAATATTCCAAACTCAGCAAAGCATAATATAGCATTATCCTTTTCCTTAACAAGGAGAATGAATGACAGAAAAAGAATTTTCAGATAACAATATAAGGTCATGGACAGATGTTATAGGGTGAAGTTATTTCAAAATATTGGAAATAACTCTATTTATGACTAAAGACAAATTGGTTTTCACTGTCCAAGCTTAACTAATAATATTAACATGAAGGCTTGAGCTCCATTCAATCATTAATTCACCCCCCCCTTCCAGCCCTCACCTTCCTTCCACTTAGAGAATCCATCATTTTTAAAATGAGACTGTATATTGGCTATTATTGTTTTATATCAATTTTACCCTTTTTCTCAACAAACAACAGTCATACATTGAGGCAAGAAGCATTTAATTTCAACTATAAAATCATTACTTTTCTTTCATACATAGTCTAAACAATACATCCACTAGTTGCATCTTCGCTACAACTACTTACTCATTAGATACAAAGGTTCTCTTAGCTGATCCATAGTATCTCCCAAACATTCCTCATATTTCAAGTCAATTACTTTGCAACATTCTTTGCAGCTGAAATACTGACTAAATACATTTTAATAATGGTCGCAATTTCCTCCTATCTTAACTTCTAACTTTGTTGATCCTAATTTAGCCATTAAATTTTGTTGATCCTCATTTAGCCACTAAATTTTATTGATCCTAATTTAACCGTTAAAAACACAACAACTCAGAATCTTTTTCCAGCACATGTTACGATCTATGATAAACTTCTTGTTGCATCTTGTTTCTATTGCTCCAATCACTGGTTCAACTATGGCTGCCACACCTCAAAACAAAAAAAAGGAAAATATCAAGGAGTAATTATGGTGAGGAATTTTGTCATTTAAAACAAATATTCTTGAGAAATTTCAATCCAGTAAGCGGTTCTTTCATTTCTGTTGTTTGGTATATCTTTGCTCTCACACTTGAATACATACAAATGTTGATATATTTTTTCCTCAATTTGTTTAACATGAATAAGGAATATTGTATCTGAAAAGTAACCTAAAAAATTGGAATCAGTGATGTGAAATTCCATCTTACTGACTGCATAACCATAACCACAGTAAAACAACATTAAGAACAAAGAATTACAAAACTTGTTTCTGCTTACAACTCCATCCATGACCAGTGGTACTGAACACCCTGTATCTGTTTGAATGGCCATGATGTAAACTGGCTGGGTCCCCTGTGGCACAACATATGGCTGTCCTGCTGTCACAGCATATCTCTGTTGAAGGGCCTGCATCACTGGCTGAATGGAAAAAAAAGCAACTGATTAAACTCTGTTTTTCCCCTTACTTTTAAATATACAAACACAGATCATTCATGACAGTTAAATTCAATTAAGTTCTGATCGGTCATTTTGAGTTGGGTGTCACAGATGATCAGCTAATTTTCCTAGTTCCCTGTGAACAATGCATGGTCCTCACCTTTCTTTTGACTGCTACATCAATTTGAAGAGTTTTTCCTTTCCATTGCACTAAACCCTATAAAATAATTTCACCAAATGTGCATTATCCCTTAAACCCCAAAGAGTGATTGACTTTTAATTTCTCCTTACAGTATCACTCTTGAATCAAATGTTAAGGTCACAAGAATAAAGGAATTGATCACCAACTTAGAAAGCTCCTTGTGGTCAAACAAGTTCTCCCTTTCAGTATCATAGGAAATGTTAAAGAAAAGTATTGAGAATATGGATGTTAATGATAGGGTGTTAACCCTTCAACTCCCAGGATCTGATTGTAAATTCTCCTCTCTAACCACTTCACATTTCCTTTAAAATTAGTTACGAGAATTTGGAATTGGAGTAAGATGACAATTTTAACTTGATAAACTTTAGTATTCTCATTATCATGTGCTGGAGAATGCAGGTACAGGGAGAATTTACATGTCAATCACTTCTGGGAAAGGGTTAAAGGTTAACCTAATGATTATTGAGTCTCTTTTGACTGGAAATGCCCTTATGAGGCTCTCATTAAGGCATTGCACCATCAAGTTAAAAGATTCACATAGATAACATGCAGTTGGAGATAACTTTCAGTCTTACCATGTCTCTCACTCGTTGAGCTTCCTCTGCTGTGTGAAATGTCACAAAACCATATCTATGAAAGAAAATGGAACCTTACTCCTTTGACTGCTAAGAGTGATTAGCATCTAATTTCTCTTTACAATATTAACTTTTGATCAAACATCAAGGTGACAAGAATTGAGGAAATGATAACCAACTAGAGAAGCTCTTGATTGTTAAACAAATTCTCCTTGTCAGCACCTCAGGAAATGTATAGAGAACTGTATGGAGAACATACATACTGGTGTTAGGTCTTTGGGGAAAGTACTGGGAATTGTTAAAACAGTATAAGTAAAGATTTATTTACCCTTTATTTACACCACTCCTGAGGTCTTCAACAATCCTCACATTCTGTACCTCAAAACCCATACCACCAAAGAGAATTTCAAGTTGAAGCTCAGTCATCTATGACAGAAATTAAAAGAAAATTCAAAATGTTGATTAATAAACAAATCTATAGTCTGTGAACTGTTGCTGAGGGCAATAAAAGAGGTGAGATCCAAACAGCTCTTGTGCCCTCTCCATCCCCTCCCTTGCACTTAATTATCTCACCAATGTGGGTTACAGATGTACCATGCCCAGCCCACTTGGGAAATAATGAATAATTTTGCTCAGGAAGTGAACTAATGGAAAAAAAGACCACCTGTTGAGAAGGACTTTTAAGAAGAAAACTCACATAATTTTGGTAATTTGACAGTTTTAATTAAATTCTTTATCTATGCAATTGAGTAATGTCAATGGATTTGTGACTGTAAAATCAGCTTACTCTATTTGGTATTCCTCTGATGAAAACTCTATTCAAAACCTGAATACCGTACTCTGTCCAAACTTCCACTGAGGACGCTGAGTGCAACGGTCTATTGTTACATGAAACCTGCATCCTGTATTGAAATATAAGATCTAATAATATTTGCAGTCAACATTAGTAGTTTTTAATCAAGAAATTAATGGTTCACAAAGTATGAAGTTTGATATAATCATGTTTTTAGAGCGTCTCGCATCTGGGTAATTTTGAGATAGCGTGACAGTGCTTTCTAAGAGGAGTCTTCCAAAACGAATGCAAAGAAAGCGTGACTTCCAAGCGTGACATGTTTTCCCCTAGGTCATGAACGCCGCGAAATTTTTCCTTCCGCAAATCATAGATGTTGCATCTTATCTTTATAGAGCAGATAACTGTCTAAACAGACCTTACTTAGAGAAAAATATAATATTTGTGGGCATCACTTTCCCTGATTACAGAACAGTTCAAAAGCTATTTTGACGTGGACAATCACCGAATCAAAGTTGAATAACCAGTCAAATTTTTGATGATTTACATTTTAAAAAAGTTCATAAGCGGCCTCTGAAATTGAACTAATCGTGAATACACGGAAGTAGTTATCTGCAGTTTTTTGGAGCACGTGTAGAACACTTAAGCAGGTTGTCTGACCGACAGATATAGAAACAATCGAAATGTGAAGAAGAGCAAGTGAAAAATGAGCTTAATTTACGCGAATTTACAAAGTACCTAATTCTTGCGTTCGCGAAACAACTTTTTGGTGGTACGCTGTGATACTAGATGGGCGCATTGATGACGAAGCCATTTTCCCGCCAAAACTGGGTAGTGCTCTCAATAAACTGCTTCAGCTTGAAACCAGAAAATTTCTCATTCGGAGACTATCAAAACTGCCTGGATAATCAGCTCATCTAACGGAAATTTGCTTTGTTTTAAAGCTGTATTTACATTAAATGTTGCAATGCAGACTGACAACGAATCAAGGTACTTAAGTACACACTTCTAATGGCTGGGATCTCTGGGAGAAATGCGCAAAACCACCTTTTTTCGTCTATTCACAATTTTTCTATGCTCCCATGTTTTCTGTAGAGGAGAAAACTGAAATCATTTATGCTTACCTCGTGAGATGAAGAAACTTCGAATTCCAATACGGTCGTATGAAAGCCGCTTTCCACAGACCTTGACCTAATCAAATTACTTTCGACACGCCTTATATACATAACCCTATCTGGGAGACGTCTAATAATAATATTCCCACGTGCGGGCGACTAGATGAAAAAAATTTTTAATGGGAATACTCAACGGAAAGAGATTTTCTTTTTGATCCCATGAATGAAAACAAATATGATAGCATCATTTTGAGTTACCTTAATCAATACTTTGTTTCAAACCACGCAAAGAAAAAACAAAAACCGACAAAAGACCAGATTTGATTAAGTAAAGAATTAACAGAAGGATTCGAGGAAAGTTTACATCGGAGACTTGAAGTATTTAAGTGTGATCGAAAATACTTATGGATGAACTAAATTTCTTTTTTGGCCGTGAGGTTGCACTTGGTTTTCAGAATTCTCTAGTTTGACAAGGGTCAGTCGGAGGCGGGTCACTTTCAGAGGCGTCAAAATGTCTACAGTGATGATGAAACTTGGTTGGGTTTAGGCTAGGGTAGCCTACAGAGAAAAGCAAAGAATACAGATAGGACAAAAACGAAAAACACTGTGAAAGTAAAGTCATGGAAAATACTTAGACTGTCCAACTGAAGGAATCGAATTCTTGCCATGTCAAAGAAACTTTAGTACGAAATACCCCCCTCCCCAACCCCCTCTCTGTAGCACTTTTCATACCTCAAAATTGCGGATTTAAAGGGTTGCCAGTAGGTGAACGGCCCCAAACTGACTTTTTTTCCTCAGTAAATTGGTTTTTAAGTGTTGTTGGTATGGATTAAAGCTTCGTTTCCGGTGCCATTTCCTTGCACCTCCACTGTATCTGTTAGTTATTGCTCGGCTCTGATATACCGCGACCAAAATTATGCCTTTGACAAATAAAAGCTGAAAATCAAAGTAACACCCACTTTTCAGGCTGATATTTTTGCCTGATATTTATGACAAAGTACAATGCTTTTATTGGACCATCGAAAAAGTTCACCGAAGTACATAGCATATTCAAAAAGAGCTATTTCAAAAAGGCTTACAGAAATGGCTATGAAACACCTCTCTACCGAATTATCATATAATGAGCCAAATCACATAAAAATGTCAAATGAAACTGATCATAATGATTCTTGTTTTACATCTCCTCAAACTCCTGTATAGTCTGAATCATTTCCTGTTCCGCCTCAGCATGTTTCTCTTTTATTTTCTCTAAGGCAGCTGCAAAGTAAAAGAACAGCGATATATTTGAGATGGAGTGGTTCGACTAATACGGGAGGGTTCAGTTACAGCCCTTCCATCCCTCAGAGGGGTGCGCTGAGGGTAAAAACAAAACGCTTAACTAGTTTGTGAACCTCTGGTGTCCTCTTGACTTCTACAATCTAGTACGGTGATTATTTTTTTGACCGTCTTTTGACATGATTCATTTGTGAATTAGCGAAAAAAGCCATTCATACCATCTAGTTGGTCAGCTTCTCTTTCCAAATCCGCAATTTGAGACTCAGCTGTATCAGCACGTTGACAGGTCTGTTAAAAATTTAACAAAATGGTTAGCTTCTTAACAAATAACAAGGTGTCTATCATCCCCAGACCGCTGAAATGCTCATTTTACTGACTGAAATGAATGGAGAACCGATAAATGCGTATTAGGCGTGAGTCAAATTTCGTTCCCAGAGCCCTCTGGTGAAGAGAAGGATATTGGGACTACTGAAAGTGTTCCGCGTTAAAATAATAATGATGATAATAATGAGAAGAGAAAAATGATAATAGTAATAATAATAACAACAATAATCACAACAACAACTTATTTTGTTGAGCCGAAAAAATTTTCCAATCAGATTAAAAAAATTCGCAACCAAGGGATGAGTCTTTTGCTTTCTAGGGATACTCAAGCAGATGAGCAGATAATTTCCTCGCAGTGCTGGCCAATGGTTCGGACCAAGATGACAATTTGATGTTGGTGAAATATCCGATGTTGTCCTCAAGATAGTTTACAAGTTCTTCGTTCAGACAATCATTCAAGCAAATAATAGCTTTTAATGTTATTTTCACCTCTTCATACTCTCGCCCGATTCTCTCTATCTTTTCTTCTAACTCCTGAATTCGTCTGTTTCCCTGAAAAAAGAGATAGCATCGGTTTTAAAAAGCATCAGTTAATTTAAGTTAAAACTGGGTTAGACCTCGACACTTTCTTTCCATAAAACTCCTGAACACGGATCCTCATTCCATGTCTTCCGGTCTTCCGGTCTTCCATTCTTCATTTTCTCATTTCCATTTCTGCTCTCCAATCAACGATGCTTAATTCTCATTGTTCGTACCTTGTTAACCACTATTTCATTTACAATTTCCGTTCCTTGGTTTTCAAATTGACATCAAAGAAACACCAACAAAAACAACACATTTTTGCACATCTACCCACCGGCACTTCAACCTACACCGCATGTACATGCAATTTTAGTTATGCAAACTATCTAGTAACGAACACAAAAGAGCTAACGCCTTACATCGCACTCCTGGACCTCCAGAGAACGGAGACTGTTCCCGACTGTTTTGGATTCTTCCTCCAGCTCCTTGAGTCGCCTTATGAAGATTAAAATAAAATAATCATTAAACTGAGCATTCGTTGTTTATAATGTAACGCAACCGTCTCCTGCATTTCGCTGTGTGACATCTTAAGGAAGGCTGCGACGGAGAACAGAGCGGTCAAAGATGGCGCATGCGCGGGGTGATCACCTTCGACTGGATTTGGCCGCACATGCGCTTATCTCCCGTACAAAATTCCATAGGAAAACAAAACAACTACTGTCTCGCAAACTAAGCAAAAAGAATTGGAACCTTCAAAGAAATCTGTGAAATGAAGCATGCAATGCATGCAGTCGAGGTGTTGTTCTGTTCCGTGCTACAACTGAAAGGAGAGCACACGTTGCGCGACGATCAAAGTGAAGAAAAATAATTTGAAATTAAGTGATCTAAAAGGTTCATTCTATCTACATTACGTTAAGATCGTTGCCTTTTCTTCAAACTGAATAATTGAGGTCAAACATCTCAACTTAAAACTCACTCATCTGCGTCTTCAGCGCGGCTTTCCAATTCATCGAGTTCTTCTTCCGCTTCTGCAAGCTTTGCCTCCAACTGTGTATGAGATTGATTGATAAGTGATATATTACAGAAAGATAAAAAGAAGTTAAGATGTTATTCCGCCATCTACAAGTTTCTATAGGGTTCTTATCTATGATTAGTGAAAAAACCCTCTGACGTGTAAAAATCACGAAAAGAGTCGGACAGCTCGTGTGACAATCATGGCAGACGTGCTTACGAAACAAATAGACAGATCTGAAGTACTTGTAAGGGGAATTCTTATCAAAACCTCCGGAGCATAGGGGGGAACCGAAAAAGGCGAGAAGGTAGAGAAAGTGATTTCGCTCTACCTCTAAGCAAGAAGGTGCATTTTTTGAGGGAACAAACCCCCCAAAATAATACAAAAACTTTATCTGTGGCGATTGTTTTCACCCACATGTCCCCCTCCCCCACCCAAAATCAATTTATGATTAATGATACTTGTCAGGCCTGGATACTTGTCATCATACGTAAATAACGCAAGTCCCACGGAAGGGAGGGCACATGAACAATTGCTTTCTTACTTCTTCAATCTCTCTTTCAGCAGACTCGTGCCTCTCCTTCTCTTCCTCTAACTTGGCTTCAAACTGAGCTTGCTAATGAGAAACAACAACCGCGATTAAATAAGTATCTGTAAAAATCGGTAGCACAATAGCAAAAGAAAGAACGAAAGAATACTAACTCGTTCCTCGTCACCCATGGCCCTAGTTTCCAGGACCTTCCTCACTCTGCAAAGAGAAATCAACAGCAAGATATATTGTCAGGATTTGTGAGAATTTATCATAGCCATTTTTCTCTTACCGCGTAACCCTTTGACCCGTTAGTTGGACCAGCATCTAATTTCTCCTTACAATATCACCCCTAAATAGAAACATTATGGTCACGAGAATGAAGGAAATGAACCCCATCTAAGGAAGCTCTCGGTTGTTAAACAAATTCTCCTTGACAGCACCCTAAGCCCTGTATAAAAAATATGCGTCGAAAATTTCCGTGAGTGGAGGTTCAAAAAAGTAGTTTGTTCGTGCCCAGGCAAACATCAAAGGGTGGGAAAAATAGAAAAAAAATGAAAATGGTCGAAGATTGGAAATATTGCATAGGGTTAGGGTTATTGACGAAGATTGTACATATAAAACTCGAAAACATTTTGGTAACTTTTTTAGGATTCACGGACCGTGACGTAGCTCAGTAGTCGTCATTGAAGGTTGGCAATCGATCGAGAACTTTGCATAAAGGATTTGACGAAGTCAAGAAGAGATTTGAGAGTCGAAAAGGATCTGAGGTAGAGATTGGCAAATCTGAGCTTCTTTTGAGGCGCGTTTGAATTTATATTTGTCGCGCACTTGCAGTTTTTATTATACACTTCTTTTTGGTCAATTTGGGAAAATTCTGAAGTATATTACTGGAATGTCAGGCTTGGTAGAAAAGAAATGGCAACATAACTTTTATTAAAAGAATCGTTCAACTTATGCTAAAAAAATTCCGGGTTTAAGTTGAAACTGGTAGGAATCAGGATTTGGCAATCACAGTTCCATTTCTTGTGTATTATAGCTGATGCATAACTGAAATTATCCG